TTCTTTAAGTTATCACATACCAAGACAACTGTTCCTAGTATACAAGACTAAATCACTCAGATTTCTTTTAATTTTGCCTAATAATGTAATGACTTGTAGTTAACCCCTTCCCTACCAACTAATTTTTTTTTTAAAAATACTGCCCCCAGAATTTGAATATTTTGGGTGTTTTAATGTATTCTTCATTTCAGTGTGCTTATCATGGTGGCTGGCTGCACATCGAGTGAGCTCCCAGCCTAACTCATACACTCTGCCTTAATTACAGACAGCCAACTGGCTATTAAAGCCTAACGCAACTACATACCGCTATTTGATGCCCTGGGGGAAGTTCCTGCAACTTTAAAAGACTTACCAGCTAGATTTTCCGAATGAGTCCCCACTGCGGTCTATCATCGCTGCCGGCCGGGTGAAACGGGCAATTGCCTGCCCTGCGTGACGCTGCAACTCGTGAGGTCTGTCACTTACCTTGTTCCCCTCCTCTGGACCGCTGGGGGATATCCCGGTCCCCACTGGTGCACGTTCACTCTCTTGCATCAACCTGCAGGCTAGCTTGGGACCTGTGCAGCATACCTAAAATAGCCGCCATCCTGGTGACACCGCAACCACGACCAAGCCTGACAGCACAGGAGTGGATAGATTCATTCAATAACAGATTTGAGGTTATGTGCCAGAAATTCTGGCACCGACTCCACGACCGATCTCTGAAGAAATCACCCCCAGCTGCTCCACAGCCCCACAACAACAATCTAAAATCCTGTCTCACACATAAGCCGGGGGCTAACTTGGAGCACAGCTCTCACTTGCCTACTCCCCCTGCAGTAGGGTTGAAGGGTACTGCTGTCCTCAACGCCTGCTCTTCTTCCGAGCCAGGGGCCCAATTGGAGGTAAACCCCCACCACTGTCCATATGCCCAAGGACCGACCAAATCCCAGGAAAACCCATGGGGCCATTATCCTGCTGAAGGAATCAATGGTCTTCAAGTATAGGCTCCCACCAAGGCCTTGGGCCGAAGTCACAGGGGACAGAGACCTCACATACCCATATCCCGTCGGCAGGAGAAAGAACCCAGCCCACAAAGACCCAGAAAGTGAAAGGGTGAAAAGGGATCAGGTGTGCCTTACCAGATATAGAGCAGCGTACCAAATACCTGAGGGGACTGCCATATACCGGGATCGGCTAAAATCTGGGCTTCTCCTCAAGGATGTCATACAGATTGGCTGAGTCTCAGTGACATATGCAAATACCTATTGTTTTGTTTTATTTAGGCCTCAATTATACCATTTTGCTAATATGACACATTCCTAGTTGGGCTCTCTGATGCAGTCCATAGCCTGTAGATGCCAACACCAAGCAGTACCACTAGCCTCAGTGGTCTACCCACTCCCTCTCTATCTCACATTATTAGCCATATTCACTTATACGCACTATCACTCATAGAGAGCACTTTGCATGTCTTCCCTAACTGCCCTCTAACGAGTAACCAGAGTTTAGACATGTTCATCTATTCTTTCTTTTTATTCTTAAAAAACGTGCAGAAATGTTGAAATGTCATGTAACCACCTCGCTCTGTGTCTTAATGTGTTTGCTCTAGCTGTCATGGCATTGCAAGCTTGCCTGTCATTTTACTGCACAACAAAAATAAAGATTTTCACAAAAAAACTAATTTAATTTGTAATATTAAATATGTTTATACATACGTTTATACATATTTCTGGGGTATGTGAATTCTGCATACACATAGTGACTGGATTAAATTCACATAGTGAAGGGATTAAACAGACAGAAGCCACATATAGCCTTGGTCACAAAAGGAATTCTTCATGACCACAGATGATAATGCATAACAAGGAATATCCCATTTGTCTAGTTTCCCAATAGCATTCACTTTATTTCCATTCATTCTTATGATCAAGTTGAGCTGGAAGGTTCAAGTCAAACAAAATATTAAATCTTTGTTGTTCCTACTTTACGGGACTTGGTGTTCACAATCCTGGAGAGGCTCAACGTAAGGTCTCCTTCTCTATGCTTTGCTTAACTTGAATATTTAGAATCCTGAAATGGGAAAAAAACAAAACTAGCCTCTACTCAATAATAATAATATAAAAAAATCCTTTATTGTTTTGTCCTTTATAAATCAGTGCTATAGGCATAAGGGGAATAGTGAGAAAATATATTTTGATGCTTTTCGTGCGTGAGCACATTGTCAAAGACAAATCCAATCAATCATCTGACTGCATTATGGGATGATGTGGGACAAATGTGGTCACAGTTTTGAAACAAGTTTTGGACCAATAAAGCATGAATACATTTTTGAACTCTTTACTGTCAGGAGGTAAACTTCCCGTATGCTTTTGGTGTCACACTCTCCTATTTTCTCTTCTGTTATCCTGTTTACCTCTTTCTTTGCAAATTGTATTTTCAAATTTCATAATGATAATGAACAAAATTTCCAAGTGAGATAGTTCTAATTAGCATGTTAAAAGTCACAAGCATTTTAAGCTCCTAGAAGATACTGGAACTTAAAAGCTTCCATGGGTACAAAGGAATAATCAAGCTCTATATTTCAGTAGGATTTATTTTGCCTTGGTTTCCAGAAACATTTACTCTGACTTAAATGACTGACTGACATGGATCTATTTTTTGCACCTTTAAGTTTCAGCCCATCATATCTCTACCATAAAGACAGACACACTCACATATTGAAGCCCAGGTCTCTCCATAAAGAGGGGCCAAAGCTACTAAATGACCCTAGCCCAATGAGAAAAGATAAATCATTGAAAGGGACACCAAAACACCAAGAAAATTGTATTTATTGTATAAGGGTAACTTACAACTCCCACAAAAAAGGATACAGAGATATATATTTAGAATTGTAATTCATGTATGTGCCATAACATGGAGATGCTATTCCAAAAATTTAACAACCTCATTTCATAAATTGAATGTAAACTGATAGCATGAAAAATACAAAACGTATTATGAAGATTTAATCTACTGTAAATGAGATTACTACGAAATTAGTCTAACCATTTTTATGTCAATATCAAGTGTGTACTGTCTACACAATTCACAATGGCAGTTAAAGAAAGAAAAAAAACAGCTAAGATTGGACACTGTCTCTTTTATTTTATTTTATTTTATTTTTTTTAATCTCCCACCTTTAAAATGATTTTCTTGTTTAAATTATTTTATAAACTAACCATCTGTGCTCCATGTTAATTACCCTGGACCCAAATCCTACAGCGGCCATGGCAACATGTCATATTTGGTATATTTCCATTCAACCGTTTCATATTAATATATTCAGCTCAATGTTTATCTGCAGTCTTTTACCTAGGAAAATAAGTAATTTTCCATATGCCTTTTTTTTTTTGAGGGGGGATAGAAATTCACATCCAGCTCTATTTGTTTAATGACTGTTTTATATATTCATTATTCAGAAACACATGCAAAGCTTTTTTCTTTAACGTGATGTAGAGAAAGAAAATAGAATAGAAAGAGTTTGTCTGAGACTTTTTTCACGAAGAAGAGATTTGTGTCTGACAGCTGCAGGAAAAGCTGATCCAAATATTCGTTTCCCTTAATACGTACAGAGCTACGCCAATGGTGCAGAGGACACAGCTGGCCGTCTTGGATCCAAACTCAACTCTTCGTTCTTTTCCCTCATCTTAACTTAATACAGTTACATCTTTGATGATACTGCAAGAAAAGTTGATGTTGAGATCATTTCCTATTTATTTATATTTCCTCGTCTTTATACTCTTGGGGACCATAGGAAGGGATGAGTTTTTTGGAGAAAAGGATTTTTCTTGGCTTAAGGTCTATATCTCTGCAAACATTCAGAATATTAATTACTGTGTTTCTGTACATTTCATACATATTTGGACATTGATTCCATATGTAGCTAGTTAGTCTTAATTAAGAACACCAGCTGTCAGCATACAAGCATTCCCTATATCTTTGGGGCTGATTGTTTAAATTTGACATTTTTCAGGCAATATTGTTAAGATTTAGTTGCGACTAAAAGCTTTATTTTTTTCCCATAAAGTCATGTGCCTGACATGTTATTTTAGCCATGCTCTAATAATTATTAAGACATTACATTCCAAAATTCTCAAAACATAATTAAGGAAAATGTTTAGTCTTGAGCTGTATTTTCCACACTTTGTCATGATGATAGATCAAAGCGTGGACATAAATAAAATTGTTCCTTTGCGAATTTAAGATGATTTTGTGTCTCCCACCCCCTCCCTGTTTTTACCATAACACCAGTATAAGTTTATAGACTAACAGGGATATATACCAGAGTGAGAAATAGTTGATCTGCATAATTTCTCTAGGTCAGCTATGTGTAGCAGACTCCATTCCCTTGTGTTCGGTTGTCCGTACCCCTTTGTTTGTCTCCTGAATGACTGGTGTGTGGTCCCCCTTGTTATGCCCTGGCGAACCTCCCCTGGCTGTGAACCACAAATTAACAACTAACATTAGCTTGAGTGCTTTCCCTGGGTGGCTGCCATGAGTATAACCGAATGCACGTGGTCCATTTTGTCTCCTGAGCACAGGCAGCGATACATGGTCTTCGAACGCCTAGAACTATTTTCAGCCATGCAAGTCCGTGAACATGGGCAGAGTTTGTACCGCTGCCGTTTAACTTCCTGACCATCTAAGCAAATGATGTTCGGTAGATATGCTCTACCAACTGGGGGAGAATTCACTCCATAACAGCTAGGAGGAGTGTTCATCGGTGTTCGCACAGGAAAGCTAAACGGCCATCCTGCCCAATCTTTTGGAACTGTTTTGGGCTATCACCTTGTGGCCAGTCAGTCACAACTTTATTTGAACAGAACTTTTGTTCTTCTGAACCGATCTGAGAGCTTTTTGGATATGTTGTGCGCTCAGATTGGGGCTATTCAGGAATATGATTTTTGTTTATGTTCCTATATTCTTTTCTGATATTTTTGGAATATTGTAAAACATGCTTGTAAGTTTCTGTGTTTGTGAGATAATTGAGATTCTAATTTGAGCTTAATTATCTCCCAAACACAAAGGCTTTTGGGAAGAAACCCCTGTGTTCTTGATGTGAAAACCCCATGCTAGAGGCCAGTGCATAAAAGCTGTGAGTGGCAGAATTCACAGTTGTACTCCCAGAACTGTGGGTCGTCCAGTTACTGGGGAGGAGGTGGGCTATTTACTCAGCTGTATCTTGTTCCTGATATCTACTCTTGGTGATCCAGTGAAGGAAAGTCCTGGTCAGGACTAGGGCTCCGCTCCGCTATGCTTTTAGTTTGGCTACTCTGGTCTTAAATTTGAAATTCACTTTTAATTCACTTTGAATTCTCACTTTCATAAATAACCCTGTAAGTCTGACTTTGTGCACGAATGGTCCCGTTCGAATATTTTAAGTGCATTTTAATCATTGGAAATAGACTGACTGCACAGCTTAATTCTCTGGAACTATTTTGGGCATGAAGCCATGCGTGCGGTCGGTCAAAAGGGACTTCGAGGAATTTTCTGAACCCCTGCTCTGATCTGGGTGATTTTTGGATGTGTTGGTCACCCAGATCAGGGCTATCAGGGGATATAACATTTATGGGGATATGTGGTGATTTGGGGTGTTTTCTGTACTTTGTGAAATATGTGATTTTTCTGCTTGGGGATAATTGAGTTACTTACAGTATCATGCTCAATTATCTTCCAAGCAGAGGGGAGGGATGGTGTTCTGTATGTGGGAGTGTCAGACATTGTACATTGTTTTTATTGGTCTGTACATCATGTAATTTGGTGCCCCATCAGGTCCAGGTGATGTTCCCCTGGCCTGAGGAATTGTATAAAAATCCAACCTGTGCCATTAAACTCTCAGATTTTCTTACCCTCAACTCGCAGCCTTGTCTCATGTTGTTGGGAAATGCTATATGTGCTGTGATCACTAGCTCTACTCAGAGCTCTAAGGAATTCGCTTATCATAACAGTACACTGAAATGTCGTATTGGGACTCCACAGTGTCCTTCCACATTGGGGAAGAGGACATCTAGGCGGTAAATACCCCAACTACCCAGGGGTGACCGTCACAGACATCTAATAGGATGTTCCAGAGAACATAATTTAAAAAATCAATGGGCAAGTCGCGTGAAAGGTATGCTTCACTTGCCGAGTGATGTTCTCTCACCATTGAGAAAGTCATCAATCACAATGTAGAAAAGAGAAGATCAAAAATTAAAGGTTAGTACTCCCACTACCCAGGAAGATCACCACTTTAACCCAAAGTCATCATGCTGGAGATTTATTTTTTCTTTTTGTGCAAAATCTTTTCATAAAAATTGTGTTCAATATTTTATGGTTTTATTTTATTTCTGGGTATATTTCCAAATACTTAAAATTATATCCAAATGGTTCAAATACAGTGCATTTTACATTTAGAAAAAATATATCCTTGAGGGACAGGCAGGTGTTGATGGATTGGGGGAGTCATGTGTTACACATTAAGGAAATTAGTATCTATATTAGAGCCAGATAATTTGGAGAACCCTTTTGGACCAGAGAACCAGGCATTGCTTGTTTCTCTAATTAAGAAAGGGGCTACTCAGTGATGATTAGTCACTTAATGAACATGCAATGGTGCATATTGGAGCTATTCTTGTTTCAGGGATCTATTGCATAATATATATAGTACATTACACATTCATGTCACCAATAAAATGTTTTCTTATTTTCCCTGATGTTTATGATTGGAGTTTTTATTGCAGCACTGCTTAAGACACTCTAGAATTTGATTCTCCCAAACTTTACAATGAAATTAAAAAAAAAAAAAGTTCCATATAAAAAATATGCAAAAATCATTACATTCCTGCATTCACATAACATTATTCTGCTATTGCAGACTGGGCTGGATTAAGATTGTGCACGGCATAGGCAGGATGCCAGATTGTTATCCCTTCCTAGTGCCCTGGATTTTGTTCTGTAAATGGATGCAGCTGAGTGTTGTGTGTGGTGGCTGAGTGTTGTATAGGCCCCGTGGCCCTGTGGGGCCCGGGCATCCAGGCCCCACATTCCCTATATGTACTGGCAGAAATGCCACCAGTGAGCCTGCACCCCGGTGCCACCAGTGAGCCTTCCCGCTGATGGGGTCCATCGGGTGGCCCATGCACTTTGGGCCATCTGATAGGCACATGTTTCCGGGGCAGTGCTGCAGTTGTGTAATATTGCCGCTGGGCAGTGGCATACTAAGGGGGGGCAGCGGGGGCGGAGCTAAAGGCAGCGTCCACTGTTTGTGTCAGCATGTCTGTGTGTCAGTATGTCTGTTTCTCAGTATGTATGTCTGTGTGTCAATATATGTGTGTGTCAGTATGTCTGTGTGTCAGTCTGTACGTGTGTCAGTATGTGTGTCTGTGTGTATGTCTGTGTTTCAGTATATATGTTTGTGTCAGTCAGTGTGTATGTGTGGGTCAGTCAGTGTGTATCTGTGTGTCAGTATGTGTGTGTCTGTGTGTCAGTATGTCTGTGTGTGTATTTGTGTGTCAGTGTGTATCTGTGTTTATATCTGTGTGTATTCTGTGTCAATGCATATGAGTGTCTCTGTACATGAGTGTTTGTGTATCTGTGTGTGTGTGTGTCAGTGTTGGTATATGTGTGTGTGTGTGTAACATGTCTGTGTATCCGCATGTGTCAAACTGTGTGTCAGTGTGTGTATCTGTTTGTCGCTATATTTGCATGTATGTCGGTGTATCTGTGTGTGCAACTGTATACAAACACTGTATCCAATACACAAACAAACACTACATCCACAACACACACCCTGTATCCACTCTACACACACACTGCTTCCTTGTGGGTGGACATAGAGGCAGGCCCTGTGGGCGAATTTGGAGGGCTTGGATGCTGGCCCCTGGGGGCCCAGACTCTGAGCTGTGTTAGGGCCCCCAAAACTGTTGATGGTGGTCCTGGCTGTATGTGTGGGCTACTGTTGTGTGTAGGTGGTTGAGTGTTATGTGTGTGTGGAGGAGGCTGAGACCTGTATGTGGGGGGAGTTTGCCTGTGCCTGTGTGTGCTGCTTGAGTGGTGTGTGTAGTAGTTGAATTTTGTGTGTCGTGTCTGAGAGGAGCTATGTTTCTGTGTATGCATGCATTGTGGCATTTTTAGTAGTGGGTGCGGGTAGGAGTATAATTTTTCTTTATGTCACTGTCTGACTTCATCTTTTTCCATCCTACCACTTTTATCTACCTATTCCACTCACTCCTCCCAGGAACCTCTCCCCACTTGTGTTTTAATCTTACCCCCAGTATTTTCTCCCTCTTTGCCAATCACCTTATCTTACCTGCTCCCACCCACTTATGTCTTCCCCTCTATTCCACTTCCACTTATCTGTTCTTCAATTCAATCTCACTTCTTCGATCAGCTTCTATATAAGTTCATGCACAGCCAGGGCTCTGTAAATGGAGACGGCATGGATAAGATCTATTTCCCGCTCCACTCTAAGTACAAAAGAATTTCCCCAGAATGAATTTCGCAGTCTGTATAGCATGTTTGATGGCCACATACGAATTGCTCGGCTCTTCATAAAAGAAACAAATAAATTGGGATTATTGGGGAGATGTATGGATCTTCCACACCAGCCTTTGAATTCTGCCATAGCTGGGCCCCTGACTGCCACAGAATCTCTGTCCATAACCAAAGTGTCTGTCCATATCTCTTCTCTTAACTTTGTGAACCAGTCTTTTAACCTAGCCATATTTATAACATGCAGTTAAACGTGACACTCAACAAACCCCTAGCAAGCTTAAATGTTCCAGCTCAAACACTTGGTACAACAAATGAAGCCCTTGATTAGTTGCATCGGGTGTGCTTGAAATAACACCTATGTTTTGCATATTTGTGCTGTTGTGAAGTATTCCATTAAGGGGGTTGAATAATTTTGAGACTGGAGAAGCACCCTCACAGAGCGTTAGCTCCAGGCCAGTGGGCCCCTGTCTGGCTCAGAGCCACAGGCAACTCAGATGGTTACAATAGGTGAAAGTGCGTTCAATCGGTACAAGTACTTGAACAGCCAGGAGGAGTTTTACATTTCCTCCTGTTAAATCTCTGACTGAAGGGGTGGGTTTATAATTTCAGCAGTTTGCAAATAACCAACGGTATGCAGGTTGCCAGGGCAGTGAACCTCCTTGATTCATAATATGTGCAAGGATCATATATTGTTATGGTGTTTGGAGTACAGTAGATGTGAAGGAACAACATTTTTAAAATCTATTCTTTTTGAGGGCCCCATAATCTGCTCCAATTTATATTTTAAACTGCTATCTCCATGTAAGAAAAGGGGATTAGACGTTTGGACTCTGAAACTTTGGAATTACTTGATTAGATTTATGCTGTGTATCCCCTTAATTTCCTAAACACAATGTATCATTTTTGTATTTTTTTTTTTTTTAATCATGTGTTCCTTAATATTAAACTGGATGATTTGATGATAACTACAGGAAACATTTCACAGTTATGTTATTTATACATTTTGAAGTTTTAAATATACCACCCTCCTGTCTCACGCGAAACCCACTGATGTATGCACTGACGCATGAGTAAGCATGCTAGTCTACCCTCAGGCAAGAATTCCAGCAATTCTTATCAATTCATCAACATAGCTATATAGAGCTGTGTTTTTATAACACAATGTTTACGTTTTACAACAATTAAGAGAATGGAAAGTCACTTTTTAAAAAATTATACTCTATTTTTGCAAAGATATGTAACAGATGCAGATTACATTCTTCCTATTCTATGAGTCATTGACATATATATTTTTTGTAATCAAAATTACTCAACCCCCATTGACAATCAGATTTATTGTCAAAATGTATAGACTTTCAGCTGTTTGCAATAAACAAGTCTAACAAAAGCAATTGAAATAGCTCAACACAACGAATGTTTCATGTTTTTTTTCAAAATTCAACTGAAATTGCAAATTATAATGACTGCTCCAGACTTAAAATGATTCAAACCCTTAACATTAAGCACCTTTAGTACTTAGTAGAGCATCTTTATGCTATTATGACCTGCTGCAATTGAGATGCATAGTCAGTCACCAGCTTCTGACAGTGTTCCTGAGAAATCTTAGCACTTTTCTCATGAGCAATGGCCTCCAGTTCAGTAATATTCTTGGGATTACATGCTGCAACCGCTTTCTTTAAATCCCACCAAAGATTTTCTATGGGGCTTAAGTCAGGTAACTGTGATGGCCACTGCAGAATTTTCCAGGACTTCTTCTACAGCCAGGCCTTGGTGGAAT